GAAGCTTTAACAGAATTTTTTAATTTTTTGAATACCAATACATGGGGGATTAATTTAACCAGTACTTGGAGTGAACAGGAAGTTTCCTTTTTAGATTTATGTATTTTTATTGAGCAGGGTAAAATTAAAACAAGGATTTTTTTTAAACAGTTGATGCGAATAGTTTTATAGATGGGGATAGTTGTCATTTCACCCTTTGGTTAGAAAATGCACCTAAAGGCCAGTTTTTAAGAATTAGGCGTAATTATACGGATTTTGAAACCTATGAAAATCAATCTATCAGAATAAAACAAGATTTCTTAGACAAAGGGTACAAAGAAACTAAATTAGAGGAGTCAAGAATGGAAGTAATGAAAGTGGATATAAAAATAGGACAAAACAGAATATTAAAGGAGTACCATTCATCTGCAATTATTGCACAGAGAATTATAGAATTAGAAAAATTATTAAACAATTTTGGCCTATTCTATTACAAGACCCTATTTTAGAAAGTGTTTTACTATAACAACCAGTGTTTATACATTGAGGGGTAAACAATTTACGTGGCATTTTAACAACCAGTTTTACTAAAGAAAAGAAAGTAAGCAACACCTTTCTGAATAGAGAAAAGGGATTTTTTTGGTTGTGGTCAGTGCTTGGCCTGCAAGAGAATAGGTAACAAGAAAAGAAGATTTATTAAATTTAAGACCAAAGAAGGTAAAGATTATCCGATAAGAGAGGTTATTACTTGCCATTCTAACAATTTAGTTTATGTCATACAGTGCCTATGTGGCCTGAATTATATTGGTAAAAAACACCAGAGTGCTTTACATTTGGATAGAAGAACATGTTGGGAATATTTTAAAGGGGTTAGAAAATCACTGTGTACCATTGCACTATAAACAATGTCATGACAATTCACCGGTTGGCACTATTTTTTGGGATTGAAAAAAGTAGAGAGAGACTGGAGAGAGGGCAATTTCAATCTTAAATTAAGTAAAGAAGAAATGCAATAGATTTTTAAACTCAATACTTTTATTGCATATGGCCTTAATTCGGATTTTGAGATGTGTCACCTTTTGAAGTGATTTTATTTCCCATATATATATGACGTGTTCCTCCTGTTCCTTTGTTCCAAACCTCATCATCATTCATATATATATTTATTTTCATTTTGAAATGATAGTATTTATGACTTAAAATATATATATATATATATTAAATAAATTATTTCCTTTTTTATAATTAATTTGAGATTTTTATAATAGACTTCTAATGGTATTAGCAGAAATTTCCCTTCTATGTGAGTTAATTGAGCGACTTCCAGTATGAACATGCCGTACTGATGTTATAAAGAATAGAATTGGCGAGTTATGAATGATGACGAGGTTTGTCACACACGAACAGGAGGAACACGTCATATGCGGAAGTAACACAGCATTGTGAGTAGGAGGTTTGGAACGCATGCACCACCCCCAGAAAACATACGAGGATTGGCGTGCATTTACAAACCGGTATAGTATTTGTAACAGAACTATGATTGTGCCTATGCTTTTGCCTGGACTTAAATAACAACGCTGCTGGATGTGTCAAACAAAAACCGAATGGCTAGTTTTCATGTAAATATTTCTACTATAACATACAGCCCAAAATACCGAACATCAGACCACCCAGGGGAACAGTTAATTGATATTTTACCTCCCAGTGATTGTGGAGTCGTTCACATGGTTCATACGAATTCCTTTGTGCTCAGGTTAGATGGCTGCCATTTCGGGACTTTACACGTGTTCGCGGCCATCTTACGCACGAACGGCGGTGTTTGCCTGTAAACGCATGGAACTAAAAACGGATACGCAAACAGGTGAACACCGCTGAGACCTCCAGGAGCTCGTAAGTTCGTGCTGGAACTACCGAACGACCGGCCATTCGGTAGTTTTGTTTAAGCCTTCATAGGGATTCAAGCGAACACCAGGATGACTGTGGAGGGCAAGGGGTTCGTGGGGTTTTAATGCATGAACGGAGACCGACCGCAAGGCCAAAACTTATGGAACTCTTTTCGGCTAGAAAACCTGTGCGGTCGGTCAAAACTTCAAAGATCCATAACTCCCGAACCCCTCAACCGAATGGGCTGAAATTTGGATATATTGTTCCCCTGAGTGAGAGCTATTAAGCGGTGCTGGGGTACATCCAGAATGTAGTTAAAATTGTGTCTATTTTAATTATGTTATATGTTATCTGAGGGGAGGAGACGTGGGGGTTGAACCATGTATCTAATTGGCTGTTGTGATAATTATGTGGGTGTAGCCTTTCAGAGGGCACTATTGCATAAAAGGAGACCCCTGTCAATAAACAGCAGTTCTACTTGACCCTTCAAAACGTAGCCTCGTCTCGTTCTTGGAGGGGATTTATGGTACCGTTACTCTGCCTCATTTTACAGCACTGCTGGATTATACACTTGGATATTGTGGATGGGAATAAGAACTCCGTTACTTCACAGCAGCTTGCCTAGAAAAGGACGTCTCCAACGGCAGATACCCCCCTACAGCAGGGTAGCCATTACAGTATTATCCCTCCAAGATGAGGATATATAAGCAGGACTCCATATCCACAGAGGATCACAAATAAACAGATTGCCCAGCTTAGGAAGTCGAGAAGAGTTTAGCGAAATGCGTCCTGGGGACAGTCAAGACTTGTGGATTGTGCCCTTTTAGTGTGTTTATTTTTTGTTCATTTTTATGTCAGATAGTTTTTGTTTTTCATATATTGTTGGGAGATACCCTTTAATAAACAGAATTTTTTTACACACACTACTGGGCATTTGGTTCCTGCTTATAGGAGTATAGTCCTAAACTACACATTATGCTGTGATTGAGCCTATTGACGGCTCCATCTTTGTGAGTATCATTTCATTTGATTATTCACCTACCTATATTGAATATGCAATATTGCACAATATATTCTCTTTGTTTGAGTCTACTCTTGGGACTAAAGAAAAGATTATACATAAAGAAGGGCAAGGTCGCCTAAACGGACCTACAGGCTATTTATCCCTGAGCTGGGTTCCTAGCTCAGAAGAATGTGAGTAGTTCCATATATACTGATTTTATTCCACATTGTTTTTTTAGTTTTACACTATTGGACTCTTTTTACTTTTTAGGCATTTTATTATATATACCATCATCACTTTACTATGCTTCTTAAGGTATTTTAACCTCCATTTGTACTGATATCGCTACACCATATTGTCTATTTGTATATTTGAGCATCTGTGGGTATTTATTTCCAAAGCATACATACAATTTATAGACTTTTCTAGTAGATATCCTGACTTATATTTGTACTGCGGGGCCAACTATATTTAAATGAACCAATAAAACCTTAATGCATTTGATAAGTTTTAGTCTCATTAGATTTATTTTTTTTCATTGCATGTGTTAATTTGTTTGTTAGTTAGGGCACAAAAAAAGATGCTTAGAAGAATGTTGCACCATAGACCTGCCTCCCTAGCCATGTCACCTTTCTCCAGATCAAGACTTCCTTATCAAATGTGCATACACAAGTGAGGGCCACTGACAGCAATGAATGACCTGAACTACAAAGCAACCTGCATTAGAAGGAGATTAGACGTGGAGATTCCTGAATTCTGAGGTGAAATATATTCAAATTACAACCCAACTGAAAAATGTGCAGTGGCAGAGCATGTTCGTTTTGATTCTGGATTCTGGATTCTTACCTCTCTTCCTTTTACTTATTTGATATGTGAATCAAGTGATGGGAAAATACTCCTGATAATATATTATGTATATATTTGCAGCACACTGATCAGTTATTTTTGCAACCTTTTGGTTTATCTGGCTTGGTTCTGGTACCAAAATTCTGTGAAGCTGAACAAACACATGGCTGAATATTGGCTCTCTGAGTCTAGATGACACACAGGGAGACATATAGTAAAGATATCACTACCTGTTGCTTGTAGTTTCTCTGACTGTCTGCATCCATGCTGTGAATTAAAAGCAGCTCACTATGTGTACATTTAGCTTGCTGCTTTTAGCTAAATCTCTGTGAGGAAAACAAAAAGTTATGTATATAAACCCCTACAAACTAATTATAATAGGACACACATGGCTCCACTGTGGAACCACTGTAACATGGCTGTGTAAATCATAGTTCATTTTGTCTTTATTTATCAGGGCTGATGAATACTATTGCCAATGCTGCCACCCAAGAATGGCGGATATTTGCCACGGTCAATAAAATGCATCAAGTTTCCTCAAATTCAATTTGAGTCAAGTACACATCTTTAGCAGATGGAGCACCCACGTGTCTGTTGCTGACCATTGTGAACCAGGTGACTAGGCTGAGGGGTGATTTCTCCGAGTTTGTTTTTTATTTATACTGCTTTCTCATATCCCAAGCACACACATACACTTTAAAGACTAAAACATGTTTGTCTTCTTAAACGCATCATATAATACTTTCTGTCCTACAAGAAACATAGTTTAATAGTACTGTTCTGATTTCCTGATTCCTAAAACTATAAATAATTGGATTGAAAAATGGGATTCCTATAGTATATAAAATAGATAAAATCTTGTTAATATTAAATGACTGTCCTTTTGAGGGGACTATGTAAACAATAATTAAAATCCCATAGTACATACACACTACAATTAAATGTGAACTGCAGGTGGGGAAGGCTTTCTGTTTCCCATTGGTGGAATCAATTCCAATGATGGTGATGATAATTTTTCAATAAGTGGAAAAAATACATAAAAATGGAACAAGTGCAAATGGTATGGCTAATGCAAAATGGGTTATCTTTACAAAGGTATAATCTGAGCAAGACAGTTCTAGAAGAGGACCTAGATCACAAAAATAATGATCGATCACATAGGGACCACAGAATTGTAAGTGACATAAAAGGAAAACAAGTATTAACATAAATCCTGAAAACCAGGAACAAAGGACTAGCTTAAGGCAATGCCTGGGTTCCATGGTACTTGTATAAACTAATGGGTCACATATGGCTAAATAGCGGTCATAAGACATCACAGTGAGAAAAAGACATTCTACAGCATTTAAGGCACCATGGAAATAAAACTGTGTGATGCAGCCTTCAAAATATATTTTGCTCCCCGCATTAATTATAATATGGAGGAAGTTTGGAGTGATATTTATAGTGAGCAAGATATCAGACAATGATAACTGACTAAGAAAGAAATACATGGGAGAGTTAAGATTTGGGGCGTTTACCACTAATATGATAATCAGAAGATTCACATTTAATGTCAAAATGTAGATTGCAAGAAATAACATGAATAGCGTAATATTGAAAATCTGGCAGTTCTGAAATCCGAGAAGAAGGAATTCAGTTACCAATGTATAATTCAGTTCCTACAAACAACAAGAGGGGGGAAAACATTGTAAGTTACATCACAAGTTTACTTTACAGCACATTCTTGTAATACCAATATCGATTTTACCCTGAACACAAATATATTTATACAAATTGTCTGACAGTGGCTATAAGTATGATAATATGAACTAGCTTCATCCAGTAATGAAGAAAAAACTGCAATGGACGAAGGGATAGAACAGTGGTAACTGGGCTGATATGGGAGAAGAGGATGGAAGTTAGAGGGGTGTTAGGAGAAGGGATAAAATAATGAAAGGGAATAAAAAAGGAAAGTGCGAAACTCAAGATATAGAGATCAAAGCAAGGGTCAGGCACCCCCTCCTTAGAAGGACACTCACATCTTTTGATACAAAGATTACCATTAGTGATATACATGTCTAACCTAAGCAACTATACTTACTTAAACTGATATGAGGTTTTAGGTGTAGCAGGACCATGGCTAAATTGCCCTGGTTGTTCTGTCATGTGTACTATTGTCTTAGCAGGTATTTTTTTCTATCTTGCTCCTGTAGGCTGCTCTGTGAGTTCGCCTAAAATTGCCTGTTCCCCGTTCGGGAGGCGCCGCCACGAAGAGAATCCATTCACCTCCCGAACAGGTATCACCACAAAACCTCATTTAAAATTTATTGTCTTAGAATGTTCGCACCTCGTAATGAGGTGTCAAAACCACAAACCGCAAGGGAAGCCTTGGCGCATGCCTGTCCTTGGTGGTGGCCCGTTCGTTAGATGAACGATATCCAGAGGGAGCACTCGTGGATTGCTTCGCACCTCATTTGGTTCCCGAACGAGGACCTCCCCAGTGCCTTTTGGAATGTTCGCACTAATCAATTAGAACGTTACCAACTTGCAACATAAGTATGAAACCGCAAGGGAAGTAATTAATGAGTGCTTCCCCAGGTGGTCGCCATTCATATAGACGGGCGGTGATCAGGGAGAGCATTGAGGGGTTGCCCAGGGTCCGCTATGCCAACAGACCCATGGACTATCCCTAAAAAGGTAAACCCTAAAAGACTTGCTGGAAGCAAGAGGGAAATCGGCCAGCAACCATAACAAAGCCGACCTGATTGCCAATCTTATGGAGTACAACAAGCAAAGAAATGAGGCAGCTGTCCCACAATCAGAGGGTTATATAGTTACATAGCTGAAAAGAGACTTGCGTCCATCAAGTTCAGCTATCCTCACATTTGTTTTTTGCTGTTGACTCAAAAGAAGGGGAAAAAAACCAGTTTGAAGCACTTCCAATTTTGCAACAAATTGGAAAAAAAATAATTCTTGACCCCAGAATGGCAGTCAGATTTATCCTTGGATCAAGCAGCTATTACCCTACATTGAAAAATTATATCCTTGAATATTCTGTTTTTGCAAGTATGCATCTAGCAGCTGCTTGAACATCTGCATGGACTCCGATAAAACCACTTCTTCAGGCAGAGAATTCCACATCCTTATTGTTCTTACAGTAAAAAAACATTTCCTTTGCCTTAGACAAAATCTTATTTTTTTCCAGTCTAAACATATGACCTTGTGTCCTATGTAGAGTCCGGTTTGTGAATAGATATCCACACAATGGTTTGTATTGGCCCAAAATATAATTGTATAATGTTATCATATCCCTTCTCAGGCGACGTTTTTTTAAACTAAAAAGGTTTAAATTTGTTAACCTTTCTTCATAGCTGATATGTTCCATTCCTTTTATTAATTTTGCAGCCCGCCTCTGCACTTTTTCTAGTGCCATAATATCCTTCTTTAGAACATGTGACCAAAATTGCACAGCATATTCAATATGTGGTCTTACCAGTGATTTATAAAGAGGCAAAATTATATTCTCATCCCGAGAACGAATGCCCTTTCTCATGCATGACAATACCTTACTAGCCTTAGCCACTGCTGATTGACATTGTTGCATAGTTTGTCATCTATAACAATTCTCAAGTCCTTTTAGTGTGTTGTTATCCCTAATTTGCTTCCATTCTTTATGCCGAAGTGCATAACTTTTTCAACATTAAATTTCATCTGCCATTTGAGTGCCCAGTCCCCCAGTCTATCTAAATCCCTCTGCAGCAAAGTAATATCTTGCTCACATTGTATTACTCTACAGAGTTTTGTGTCATCTGCAAACACTGAAACATGACTTTCAATGCTTTTTTTCAAGATCAATTATAAACATGTTAGATAGAAGGGGTCCCAGAACAGAACCCTGAGGGACACCACTTGCCACCTCTGTCCAGCTTGAAAATTTACCTTTAATGACAACTCTTTGTACTCTATTTTTAAGCCAATGTTCTACCCAAGAACAAGCATTTTCATCTAGACCAATTTCCTTGAGTTTGAACACTAATTTATTGTGTGGAACTATATCAAATGCCTTGGCAAAGTCCAAATAGATCACATCCACTTCAACACCCTGATCTATACTTCTACTTACTTCTTCGTAGAATGCAATCAAGTTAGTTTGACATGACCTGTGCTTCATAAAACCATGCTTATTTTTGCTGATAACCATGTTCTTCTCAAGAAATTCTTGAATATTATCCCTTAATAACCTTTCAAATATTTTCCCAGTCACAGAAGTTAAGCTCACAGGTCTATAATTTCCAGGCAAGGATTTTGAATCCTTTTCGAATATAGGAACCACATCTGCCTTCCTCCAATCCTCCGGAACACGTCCTGAAATAAAATAATCTTGAAAGATTGAAAACAGAGGTTCACTTATTTCTACACTTAGTTCCTCATGGATGAATACCGATAGGCCCTGGAGCTTTGTTTATATTAACTTTCTTTAGTTGCTGAAGCACCTTGTCTTGAGTTAACCAATTACAATTATTCTGCAAGTTTTTAGCAGAAATCATTTGCACATCTATTGCCATGGGTTCTTCCTTAATATATACAGAGGAGAAATAGTTATTTAAAATACCTGCCTTTTCCTGGTCTTCATTAACTAACACTCCCATTCCAGTTTTTAATATGCATACACTTTTATTTCTTTATTTTTTTTAGAATATATGTACTTAAAGAATGCATTGGGGTTGGTTTTGCTCTCTTTGGCTATCATTTGTTTCTTTATATTTATTACCCAATGGTACATACTGAGAAATGTACCTTTCTAATATTTGTTGGAAGATGTTCCATTTATCCTCAGTGTTCTTTTCACTTTAGAGTTTATGCCAGTCAATATTGTAAAGATGCCCTTAACTTGGATAGCAATATATATTGGCCTTTTTAAAATGATATGTTATAGTATACCCCACGTGCTTTTGTTTTTTTTTAGTTTATTTCAAAGGACACTATATTGTGATCACTATTTCCCAAGTGCTCACCTACTTGAATGCTGGTCAAAAGATCAACGTTGTTTGTTAAAACCAGGTCCAGACAAGCGTCCTTTCTAGTTGGTGCTTTTACAAGTTGTGACATGAAGGTGTCATTTAACAAGTTCAAAAACCTAGTTCCCTTTGCTGAGCTACTAGTCCCTCTGTCCCAATTTATGTCCAGGTAATTAAAATCTATAATAATTAAAGTGTTACCCAGATTTGCAGCTTTCTCAATTTGCTCAAACAACTATTGTTCCTCATCAATATTAACATTAGGTGGTTTATAACATATCCCAACCAATAGTGGATTTCCCTTCTTTTGCCCCAAATTTCCCTTTTTTTGCCGAGGGTGAAGAAGGAGCCTTCGACAAAGCAATAAGACAGTGCTTGGCCTTATTCAAAGAGCCTCGCCAAGCGGAACTACAAGCAAATTTAAATTTATATTTATATTTATATTTAAATTTATATTTATAGCTTGCAAATTAAATTCTCTGGAATTTCTGCCTGGGTTGTCAGTCAGGTCTTCCAATATATAATTAACAAATATAATCTAATTAAATATAAATAAAACATATACACATAGAATTTAATTTATCTAATTATTATCATCCTCATTTATATAGTGACAACATATTCTGCTTTACAATATCATAAAGGGGAAATAAAACAATACAAAATGTTACATGAACAAATTGTTTATGAGGAACCTGCTCCAATGAGCTTACAATCTAGAAGGTGGGGTATAAAAGCACAAGAGGAAGGCAACATGGTGGGTAGCAACCAAGCAATCATGTGTAAAGTAACAGGATCATAACTTTGGAGTGTAGTGTAGACCTTTAAGTGAGAATTACTATGAAAGGCCATAATCTATCCTGAAGTGATGGATTTTGAGGGACTTCTTAAATGACTGATGACTAAAGGAGAGTTTGATGGGAGTAAGCAGGCTGTTCCAGAGGAGAGGAGCAGCCGACGAGAAGTCTTGCAAGCATGAGTGTGACGAACTACACTTGGGCACTGGTTTTTGGAGAGGCCTGATTGCCAGCCTCTTGCCCCAGGACTATGGGCCATGTCTAAAACTTTGTCCCAAGTCTGTGAAAATGCTGGTTTGTGGCTTTTTCCTATGTAGTTCGGTAAATGGGGTTTACCGAACAAACTGTCGAACAGCCGGACCACCTGCAAGTGGAGTGTGCTGCTTGTTTACCCCCCAGAAGCTGTGGTTAGCTGCAGCTAATTGACAAACTGCTGAGTGGTTGCCATTTGTATAGTCGAACACGTGACGGCGGCCATCTTGTTTAGTTGAACACATTCAGCGGTGCTTGGTCGTCAAGTTCATGGAACTCAAATTGGACACGCGATGGCACGAACCCCGCTGAACTTTACCTTCTCCAGAACTTCGCCGCTTCGACGGGAGTCGAACGGTGTTCGACGATTTGAATGCCACTTTAACCTTGGCTATTTGCACGAACGGCCCGCGTTCGTGAATTCACATTGAACTTAGCATTGGAAATAGACCAGCCGCACAGCCTAAATCTGTGGAACTATTTTGGGCTGAGAGCCATGCCTGCGGTCGGTCAAAAAAGATTTCCATAAAACTTTTGAACCCCTGCTCTGATCTGGGTGATTTTTTGATATGTTGTTCATCCAGATCAGGGCTATCCAGGGATGTATAATTTATGGGGATATGTTGGAGTTTTGGGGTGTTTCTGTACTTTGGGTAAAAATTAGTGTTTTCTGCCTGTGGGTAATTGAGTTAGTCCATTGTCTTTGTTAACTGTATCACAGGCAGAGGGGAGGGTTTCTGTACAGTAACTGGGAGTGTTCAAATGTAAAACTCTGTTTTTATTGGATTGTGCATTTCATGTCTTGTGCCCCACAAGGTCCACGGGGGGCGGTAACCTTGTGGGGAAATACTGTATAAAAGAAGCAGCTGTACCATTAAACCCTCAACTCGCAGCCTTAAATTGTGTTTGGAGAGGACAGCTATAATCACTACAGGGATTGCTATACTCTGTATACTCCCTTAGCTTCACTGAGCTCTTGTGTAGCCTCTGAAGGAAGAGAGGTTCACCCACTGGAGCCTGGAGCCTTGTCTTAGGTCCAGGGTGGGTAGGAGACGGCGAGACCCCAACCAAGCTGCGGAGGTTCATGGGGTCTGCAGTGCTTATGGTGTCTGGTGCGGTGCTGATGGTCCTTGGTAAGCACTAGGAGCATCTGTTGATGGTCCAACCCCCAGCTAGCCCGGGGCAACCGTCACTATGAGTTTATGGTGAAGAGAAGTCCAAAGTCACAAAGGTAGGCGTTACTGTTTTAAAGTGAAACACTATTTAAGTATTTTTAGAAGGTACACACAGATACATTAATAAATCTTACTACCTGCCATTATCCTCCACTGTTACCCAGAAGCCTGCTGTTAAGATTGAAAATAAATTGCACTATTTTTAGTACTTTTAAAGAACAAGCTATTTTTTAAAAGATCAACTAGTTGAAAATAATTCTAATAATCTAGATACCCTAATCTAGAATATAGGTAATCCATATAGGAATACGCTCTTAAAAAAGAATGATGAACAAGATATAATACTACTGGTGAATCTAGACTATACCAATACAAGCAATAGAATGAAAAACATTATCAATACACATTGGAATATGTTAAAAGAAGAAGACCTTTTAAAAGATATTATACCTGAGAAAACAAAAATGGTGTAATTGTTTTTACACAAGAAAACAAATCAATTATAAAAAATGTTTTTTAGATAAGCTAGGGTTCTTCAAATGTAAAACAGGCATTGCCTTCACAAATACTGATATAATGTATAATAACATTATCAAATATAAACCAAACAATACAAAAAAAGAAAAAAAAAGTAATTGTATTACAAGTAATGCAAAAAACATTATGTATGTATTGGAGTGCCCTTGTGGGCAACAATATTTGGGAATGACCACAAGATGTTTAAAATGAAGAATAGCAAAAGTTTTATGAATAGCATGGTATCTAAACACTTTTCTTTCACAACAAAACACACAATTTTTAAAAAAATGTTAAGCCATAGATAAATGTACCATACTATGGTGGGGAGGCAACATTAAAAAAATCTTAGGAAGAAGAGAAATTAAATGACATTTTTGTTTAAAACTTTATTTCCAAGAGTATAAATGCAGATTTTAGCCTAAATACATTTTAATAAAATAGCGTTATTTATCTGCTTCCTATATATACAAAAATACCTTTTTTTTTTAAATGTATTTTTATATATATTATTTTAACATAATTAAATTGTTTATATCCATTTTTTGCATGGTTTTACATTGCGCTGTGATAGCACCTTGGTCCATTTATTTTTTTTGTTTCTTGGTGAAGAGTGTCAGAAATGATCATTTTTTATTTATATATATATATATATATATATATATATATATATACTGTATCACAATTCTAATTTTGGAATTATCTTTGCACATAATTTTATATATATATATATATATATACATATATCTTTAAATTTTTCTTCAATCTAGCATGCAAATATGTAAGTTTTAAAATAGAAAAATTCTACAATGCGTTATCTTTTATTATTGTATTCATGTATCTAATTTGTTTTAACACGTATGCCACTGTTACTCATTTATATATCTGCTGTATATTTATCATAATCTGAATCTTTTACTTATCTAACATTGGCTAAAGGATAGAGTACAATGAGTTGTCATTAATGGTAAATTTAAAGCTGGACAAAAGTGGTAAGTGGTGTCCCTCAGGGTTCTGTTTTGGGACTGCTTCTATTTAACATATTTATAAATGATCTTGCAATAGGCATTGAAAGCCATGTTTTAGTGATGCAGATGACACAAAACTTTGTAAAATAATTCAATGTGAGCAGGTTATTGCTTTGCTGCAGATGGATTTAGATAGATAGGGGGACTGAGCACTAAAGTGGCAGATGAAATTTAATGTAGAGATATGCAAAGTTATGCACTTTGGGGTAAAGAATACCCAAGCAACTTACACCCTAATGTTAGTGGATTAGGGATAACAACACACGAGAAGGATTTGGGAATTGCTATAGACAACAAATTAAGCAGCAATATGCAATGTCAAATTTGCAGTTGCTAAGGCCAGTAAGGTTTTGTCATGTATAATTAGCATAAATTCTCGGGATGAAAATATAATTTTGCCTCTTAATAAATTGCTGGTAAGACCACACCTTAAATATGCTGTTCATTTTTAGGCACCTGTACTAAAGATGGATATCATGGCACTAGAAAAAGTGCAGAAATGCAAAATTGATCAAAGAGATGGAGCATTTTAGTTATAAAGAAAGGTTAAAAAATTAAATCTCTGGGGGGCGGAGCCTGACCACCGAGCTGTGCAGACGTGTACAGCACGAGCTCCTGCACAGCGGGCAAAATCTGGGGCAAAAGCAGCGGCTACACAGCCCAAGGACCCTCTGGGGTGCACCATCCACGTCGGGGGTGCACCACTTAACCGACTGATACCACCCCGGAGCCCGTCGGAGCTAGGGAAGCAGGAATCCACGTGCGGCCTACTGGGGTAAGAGCTCGGGAGAGGCGGCCGCTCTCCCTGAAGCCAGAGCCTTCCAGCGACCTCATACCAAATTACCCCCCCCCCTTTGGACCGGTGGGGGATATCCCGGTCCTCACTGGACAAATTGATAAGGCAGGAGGGCAGACTTACCGACTACACAGCACACAGAGGCACCAAACCAACGTGGCGCAGACAAGATGGCTGCCCAGCACAGGCCTAAAACACGGTGCACAAACACTCAGCCACCCACACACCCTCTGGGATCTTTTGACCGGCTCTGTACAAGCTTCTGGGACATGCTGTACTGCCGCGGAATGGCTTATGACATAGCGATAAAAACCGTGGCTGCATGGATACGCCCGGCAACACGACGTCGCCACTACAGGCGCTTACCTCAAGCTTCCAGAGCGGCCATCAGGAAACTCAGGCATCAGCGATCCTCAAGGCGGGAAGTGACGCCATACTACTCGGGTGCACGCTTACACTTACAACAGCACAGGTGCTGGACCACCAAACAAGCGC